GTCATACCCTGGGGTACGAGTCATACCCAGGAGTACGAGTCATACCATGGGGTACGAGTCATACCCTGGGGCACGAGTCATACCCAGGGGTACAAATCATACCCAGGGGTACGACTTCAGGGTCTGTTTGCTGAACAAGTGCCACAGAAACCTGCTGAATGATAACATATTTATATATTTTCTCCCTCCAGGAGTCCCGGCCATCATCATGGCGGTCACTTTGGGCACCACCTACAGGCCAGATAACCCTCTGGGATACAGACAGGAGGAATTGTGAGTCCATCACTAATAATTATAATTTACTGATATATTCTGATTATATAACTAACTGCAGTTCATCCTGTAGCTGCTGGCTGGCGGCTGTGGATAAGAAGAAGCAGTTTGACTTCAGGAAACCCATGTTCTGGGCCTTCTTGCTTCCTGTGGCTCTGATTTTAATCTACAACGTGGCTCTGCTGGTGCTGGCCTCTCTGACCATCTGCCGGACCGACACCGCGCTCAAAAGGTCAGAAAACAGGAACCTTTTCAATTACTAGAAACTCCCTGAGGATAATCATTGATATTAAATATGTTTCAGCTCGAGACCTCGGACTCTGTGGAAGAAGTTCCTGATCAGTTTCTCTCTGGCGGTGCTGCTCGGGGTCTCCTGGTCTCTGGGGTATTTGGTGCTGGTCACCTCAGGAAACACTAACCTGGTGTTCAGCGTGCTGTTCTGTGTCTGCACCACCACACAGGTACTGAGGCACTGTCAGGAGCACTTCATGTACTCCAAGTGACCACGGTGATACAGATGTAAACGTAGCATGTTGAGAAAAAGTCTAAACGTTTTCTACGTTTTAAGGGCAGTTTTCAGACAGATTTGTGGACAGTTCCCACAAATAACATTTGGTCCAGATTTTACCAAATGTATTGCAGCCCAAGTATTTTCTGTTATGTTTTCGGACTCTTTGCAGACTTTCCTCGGACAGTTCCCATCCTTCTTTGTGACAGCAATGGGACATTTTCCCAGGCTAGTTTGAGTCTCTCCGAACAGTATTTCTCAGCATTACCTCCGTCTTCTTCTTCTTGTGTTTCAGGGGTTTCAGATCTTCGTCCTCTTCACCGCCCGGACGCCTTCCTTCAGAGCCGTCTTGTCTCGCTCTCTTCAGTTCGTCTCGTCCGTCAACATCCAGCTCAAAGAGACCAAGTACCGGCTGCAGAGGACCTGGGGGACGTCCAGCATCGAGTCCTACCGGGACATCAGCCTGTGACCTGAAACACAAAACAACCGGTATCATAACCCCAAAAACGAAGAAGACGAGTCGGGCTGATGAGACCCGACGTGAGGACAGAGTATTATTACATTAAATTACATTTAGCTGAGGCTTTTATGTAAAGCGACTTACAATAAGTGCGTTCGACCAACAAAATACAACCTTGAAGAAAATAGAATCATATAAGTACATCAGGTTTCATAGAGCCAAACATTTCAAGTGCTTCTTAACTGGCTTTAGATAAGCCAGTCCTTTATTAGTATATAAGTGCTTTGTTAGTAATTCTATCTCTCGAAGTGGAGTCCAAAGAGATGAGTTTTCAGTCTGAAGAAGATGTGTAAGCTTTCTGCTGTCCTGATTTCAATGGGGAGCTCATTCCACCATTTTGGAGCCAGGATAGCAAACCCACGTCTTTCTGCTGATGGGAACTTGGGTCCCCCTCGCAGTGCGGGTGAAGCGAGCTGTTTGGCTGATGCAGAGCGGAGTGCACGTGCTGGGGTGTACGGTTTAACCATGTCCTGGATGTAGGAAGGGCCAGATCCATTCACAGCATGGTACGCAAGTACCAGTGTCTTGAAGTGGATTATTATATATTATTATTATAACCATGGCTAACAAAACAAATATAAACTCCTGTTGGACTGGTTTTCTCTTCAGTGTACGGATAACTTCTGATGATATTTATATAAACTCACAGTGATTTCTGTTTTTATTGTTCTTGAGTTATTTAAAATGCTATTTTATGAAGTGTCTTATCTTAAATTATAAGAACAATTAAAAAATTGGATTGTAATTGTTTTATGGCTCTTTCATCTCTGTGTCTGAAATATATATAAAAACATAATATTCCTCATAAAATAAAAACATATTTCTTAAAATATTTAGTTTTTATTTTATTGTGAGTTTTAACAATGCTTGATGTTTTTCTGGAGATATTTCTACTTTTTAATTTAAACAAAGAGTGAATTTAAAGTAATATGAATTTACCTTTTGATGTTGCCACCGGAGGAACCACATTTCCCAGAATGCATTGAGCCCTTTGGGAAAACAGAACATTTAATTAGAAATTAGGTGAAAATCAAAAGTATAATAAAAGAAACTGGTCTTTAAATAACAAAAAAAAAAAAAAAACGTTTGAATTTTTCTTTTAATGGATATTAATCCTATTTTAAATTAATCGTCAACAGTGGTTTTGGGTTGTATAAAATGGCCATCTAATGGTTTAAAAAATATATATTTAAAATATGTATTATTAATTCGGGTGATTTGCAGTAAAAACTGTTCTTTTTATGTTCATTAAAGGTGTTAATATATCTTTTTAATAATCATTATCAGTCTTAAACCCATCCTTTAATGTTGATGGTCTAACAGTGGAGAGCGTCGGCCACCAGAGGGTGCTTTAACACAGCAGAGACACTACCACACACACCTGAAGACCTCACACACACCTGAAGACACACACCTGAAGACACGACACACACCTGAAGACCTCACTCACACCTGAAGACACACACCTGAAGACCTGACACACACCTGAAGACCTCACACACACATGAAGAACTGACACACACCTGAAGACTTAACACACACACACACACACACACACACACACACACACACACACACACACACACACACACACACACACCTGAAGACCTGAGAGAAGAAGACTGAGGGGGGG